AAGTTTGACTTCTTTGCCAACTTGGATGCCTTTTATTTCTTTGTGTTGTCTGATTGCTGAGGCTAGGACTTCTAATACTATGTTAAACAACAGTGGTGAGAATGGACATCCCTGACGTGTTCCTGATCTCAGGGGGAAAACTCTCAGTTTTTCCCCATTGAGGATGATACTGGCTGTGGGCTTTTCGTATACAGCTTTTATGATGTTAAGGTATGTTCTTTCTATCCCGACTTTCTTGAGGGTTTTTATTAAGAAATGATGCTGTGTTTTGTCAACTGTTTTTTCTGTATCTATTGACAGGATCATATGGTTCTTATCCTTTCTTTTATTAATGTGATATATCACATTGATTGATTTGCAAATATTGAACCAGCCCTGCTATGCTGCAGGATTTCACAGACATGTTTAAGAAATGCCAAGAATCACTGTAAATCAGCACAGCTGAATGAAAAAGGGTGTATGTGAGCCAGAAGCCAGAAGTTATTAAAAATCAATTACTGTAGAATTCTAATGTGCCAGGCACTGGGATAGATATGGGAAAAGACATTTTAACAATGATAGCCAATCAGATATGTACAAGTATATTCAAAATACTTATGAAAGAGCAGAGGAATGAGTAATCAATAGTCTGTAGGGAGTCAGAGAAGGCTTTATATAAGAAGTAAAAACATTGAGTCTTGTAGAGATATTCCAGGGAAGAAAGAACAGCAAGCATATGAGTAGGCAAAGAGAAATAAAAGGATTTAGCATGCCCAAGGAACCACAGGCAATTTGGTGGGTCTGCAGTAGCATTAGGGAATAGGGGTATGCCAGGGGAGACAGACTGGAAAAATAGGTCAGGTGGAAGTTAAATTATAAAGGACTCATATGTTATGCTAAGTGGTCAAGGCTGCCAACTAGTAGATGCAATACTAAAGCAGCAAAACACATTTGTTTCCTGGCTAACATCTCAAGTGGAAACTACATGAATAGCAGAGAATAAAATTTGAAATTGACCTTACTTACCTTTCAACACTATTGAGATATGAGGATCCATCATGGCCTCCTACTGCATACAGCAGGTCATCAAGAACACTGACCCCAACTCCACATCGCCTTTTGCTCATCGAAGCTACCATTCGCCATTCATTGGTCTGTGGATCATATCGTTCAACACTAGAAATAGCATCTCCACTGCACCAGCCACCAACTGGGGGAAGTAATACAAGTGGTCAAGAGAATACTTGTTCTAATGCACAGAATGTATCACTCACTTCAAAACTTCAAATCGTGACCTATTGCTTGGATTTACCAAATATCTCTAGAAGCAGGTCAAAACATAAGTTATGACTTTTACTTATTCCACTGGGGTTGCGATAATCTTTAATTTTCTAAATAAATCCATTTTACAGAGAACAGCAAGGACACCAGTTTAAGTCAGATTGGGAAGTAAGTGGCGTTTAATGGATAAAACACTGAATTTAGTTAGAAGACTGGAGTTTGAGTGTTACCTCTGCTAAGTGATGTGATCTTGAGAATATCTTATAAACTACCTTATTTGTTAAATAAGGAACAAAAATTTTAAAATGAGATAATAAATACATTAAACTGCTTTCTAAAGAATAAAATACTACATAAATGTAATTTGTTATCAAAAGCTTAAAGAACTAAAACCTGACAAAAAATAACCAGTATTGGTGAGGATGTGAAGAAAAGGGAACCCTCATACACTGTTAGTAGAAGCATAACTTGGTGCAGTCATTCTGGAAAACAATATGGAGGCCTCAAAAAATTAAAAATAGAACTATCATATGACCCAGCAATCCCACTTCTGAATATTTATCCAAAGAAAATGAAAACACTAATTCAAAGAGAAATATGAACCCCTATATTCAATGCAGCATTATTTATAATAGCCAAGATATGAAAGCAACCTAAGTATCTACTGATAAATGAATGAGATATACTATATATACACAATTGAAAATTACTCAGCCATAAAAAAGAAGGAAATCTTGTCATTTGCGACAACATAGTTGGATCTAGGGATCCAATCAAGTGAAATAAGTCAGACAAATGCTGTACAATTTCACTTACGTGGAAACAAACAAAACAAAACAGAAACAAACTCATAGATACAGGAAACAAACTGTTGGTTACCAGAGTGGAGAAGGGTTGGGGGGCAGGCAAAATAGGTGAAGGGGATTAAAAAGGTATAAACGTCCAATATAAAATAAATTAGTCATAGGGATGTAATGTAGGGCACAGGGAATACAGTCAATAATATAATAACTTTGTGCGGTGCCTGGGTGGCTCAGTCTCAAAAAAAAAAAAGAACTATAATTCAGAAGCCTAGTTTTCTTTTTATTCTACTGGGGAGGGGGATTTTGACTCATCTATTCACAGTCTCTTAATAGGTCCTCTTATAACTGAAAATAACACAAAAATTCTTATGATTTATGCTATAAAATACTTTACTTTCTGTTTAATCTATGCTCTATAGAGAATTCTACATTATCCAAACTGACATTTAAGGTAAGGAAATGTTTTGAAGAAACTACATTTTTCATAACCAGAATAACAAGTTCAAACTGAGTTCCACAGAGCTTCTCAGAGTGCTCCCTGAATAAAGAAGTGGTTATAGCAGATAATTTTAATTTATTATTCTTTCAAATCATCTCTATTCCAATCCAAAATAAGGGCTACATTATGGAGCTTAAAAAGTGAAGTCTAGGGGCGCCTGGGTGGTTCAGTCGGTTGAGCGTCTGACTTCGACTCAGGTCATGATCTTGTGGTCATGAGTTCAAGCCCCGCGTTGGGCTCTGTGCTGACAGCTAAGAGCCTGGAGCCTACTTCAGCTTCTGTGTCTCCCTCTCTCTCTGCTCCTCCCCCACTCATGCTCTGTCTCTCTCTCTGTCAAAAATAAATAAAACATTTTAAAAAATTTAAAAAAAAGTGTCCAAAAATTAAAAAAAAAAGGCTCCTACTCCAGCTATTAAAACAATAGCCAAACAAAATAGTTAATAGATCTTCATAATAATGGACGTAACTCCATAAAGATGGTCCTACTACTAGAATTCCCAAAAACAACATGACATCATGAAGACACAGGTACCACAAATAATTAGATCTTGCAGCCTTCTAATTTCAAAATAGACCATCAACTTTCAAAAGTGGGAAAGAGAAACTCTAAGACTGCTCTATGGGAGAGCAAGGATGCAGATGTATGTAGGTGCGAGCATGCAAATGTCTGTGTAAACCCACATAGCAGGTGAATATGATCACGCATACATAGGAATAAATAAGAATAATAATACAAATTATAAATCTATTAATAACAGAAACATTTGGACACTGGATGTATGGGAGAAGTCAGTGCATAATGAATTAATAATTAAGCTTGAAATCTAAAACAGAAATAAAGAAATTCTTCAAAAGAGAAAAAAAAGTCTGATGAGGACTGGAGTGAAAAAGAAAACCTGGCATCAATTTTCTTCTTGCAGAAATACTACAATCCTCTACATGAAGAAATTTAGATGAAAAAACTTAAAAAGAGAGAGCTAAAAACATAAATTATCAAATTTTCCTTCTAAAAATATAGGGGAAAATATATTCCCACATGCCAAGAGAAAATTAAATTGGGAAGAAAAAGATAGGCAGTAGTTAGGCTGATGGAAAAGGATACTAGGCCCCAGAGATTGCACAAAATTCCCTGATGAAAAGGAATAGAACACTTCATATATTAAAATGGGACAAAAGAATCCAAGGATGTCTACATCTAAGGAGCCATGGAATTAGTGAAAGTTGGGAGCTTAAATACAAATACTATGCGTCCCGGTTAGCTCCACGAATCAGAATTAGAAAAAAATTCAGAGAACTTGCTACAGACTGAATGTATGTATGTCCCACCAAAATTTATATGTTGAAATCTAGTCCCCAGTGTGCTGGTATTAGGAGGTAGGGCCTTTTCAAGGTGCTTAGGTCATAAGGGCAGAGCTTTCATGAATGGGATCAGTGCTCTTATAAAGGAGACCTCAGAAAGTTCCCTTGCCCCTACCTCCATGTAAGAACACAGCAAAAAGATAAGAAGACCAACCTCCATGAAGAAGCAGGTGGGCCCTCACCAGACATGGAATCTCCTGGTGCCTTAATCTTAGACTTCCTAGCCTCCAGAACTGTGAGAGATAAATTTATGTTGTTTATAACCACCCAGTTTCTGGTTTTCTGTTAGAATAGCCCGATGGACTAAGAAAGAAGTAGTAAAAAGTAGTTTGATGCAACTGTGAGAAAGCTGTTATTCAGGTGAACAAGGGAGCTGAATTTATGTGGATGGAAGTGACATCTGAGGATGAAAGTTCTTAAAGATTAAGGAGCAGAGAGTAGGAGCAAAATGATACAGCAGGCTGTCTTGGGCTCAATCTAGCTCAGTGGAGCTAGGAAAGTGTGTAACTGTTTAATGTAAGATAATGTTTTGTTTTTTAAACTTTTTTAAAATGTTTACTTATTTTTGAGAGAGAGACAGAGTGTGAGTGGAAGAGGAGAGAGAGAGGAAGACACAGAATCTAAAGCAGGCTCCAGGCTCCGAGCTATCAGCAAGCATGGAGCCTGATGTGGGGCTCAGACCCACAAACCACGAGATCATGACCTGAGCCGAAGTCGGATGCCTTAACCAACTGAGCCACCCAGGCCTCCCTGTAAAGATCATGTTTTTTGACAGTTCTAGGTAATTATGAGGTGACTTGCACAGTGGTATATAAAAAATGCATATGACTCATTTTAACAAAATATCTACTGCATGACATTTTTAGACTTACATAAAAATAGAGCACTCTTGGAGAATACCAGTGTTGGATCATGAGTTAAGGAGTCAAGCTACATGGTAACTTATTATGTGTCTCTTATGACAGTGGATATCACGATTGTCCAAAGGACTACTCAAATGACAGTTTAACATGTAGGAAAACATTCAGTTTAATCAGAGTATATTAAGACCCAGACCTGCAAAGAGTACTTCTCCACATCGGATAGGTTTCCGTGGTCTTGTCCTTGGTCCTTGCATCAGTGGTCGTTCTTGAGGTAAGAGGAGATAGTTTTTAGCTTCATCTACCAAGTCTCTGTGGAGAAAATTCTGCCTTTATTCCAAATGTCTAAATAATATTGTTAGTCAAATTCCAATATGGTTTAGGAATACGTAAATTGGCAAAGGGGAGCAAGCATAAATCAAACCAAATCATGAATGCCAGCCAATATTAAAAAGTCACAAACATGAGAGAAATGATGCCAGTCATACTATGAGTTGTAAATTGATTGGTATTTCCATCATGACTTCCTATCTTAGTGCAAATTTAGCCTGAAACTCATTATGCTTGGGACCACCGATAACTTACAGGAAACTAAAGTTTACAACTCAATTACCAACCTGCATAGTTATTGCTTTCTCATGAATTTTACTAGATTCTGCAGGATACTGGCAGAGTAGCACATCAGCCTTGGCACTAGATAGTTGTCAGATTAATTAAATAATAAAACTAAGTCAAAAAATTGGATTGTTAAGAAGAAACAGTGTACTGTCATTTAATATTAATTTGCTATCTGGTACTGTATGAAATGGTTTACTTTCAGCAAGTCTACTGAGGAGGAACAATTTTTTTCCCTGTCTCTTCAGGTACTTTCTGAGAAGAACCTAGTAATTACACTTGTTAAATACAATATCCTAATACAAACTATTCACATACATACTTAGCTCACTTGAGTCCTCTCTTTGAGTGATTCAGGACCTGATTAGTGCAAACTCTGTTCTTTCCCAATCTTGAAAGTGTTTCCTAAAATATATTTTCATTTCTCTAGCTTTTTATGCTAAAAAGAGTAATTTATTCCTGCAGGACCAATCCCAAGCATGACCCAATAATGTACTTCCAATATGTGGTTTTGATAGGGCCCCTTTTGAGTTTACTTATCCTAAAAAAAAAAACAAACAAAAAACAAACCCTAAACCAACAGCTCCTCCCCACCCAAAACCCAAGCTGATGACAAAGAACTTTCTCAAGCTTCCTCAGCCTTAAAAACAAAGACTGGGATCTCTTAATAGCCAGTTTTTAAGTGTTGAGGATTTATAGTACTCTCCTAGAGACAGTACTATAGAGCTAAAACTTAGCAAGCCAACCCAAAATTAATAGTAACAATGAGAACACTTATAGCTATGTGTCAGTCCTTGTAATAAGGGTTTAGTATATATTAACTCAACAATCCCCACCACTGGGGGTACTATTATTGTCCCTACTTTACAGATGAAGAAACCATAGCAGAAAGAGGTTAAGATAACTTGCCTAAGGTCCCACATCTAGTAAATGGTGAGGTTAGGATATCAGTAAAGGGTTTCCTTTAAAAGTGACTTTGGAAGTACCTCTGCTTGGTGCATCAGAATCAGTACAATCTGATTTATGTTTTATGGATGGGGAGCACTTTTGCATTGTTTCTTCAGATTTCAGAATCCGTAATTCCATATGGTTTTCCTTCTGCTACTATACATACTTGAGGGAATTAATTGCCATTTGTCTGGTTTTTATTTAAAATACAAATATCAGGGCACCTGGGTAGCTCAGTCAGTTAAGCATCCAACTCTTGATATTGGCTCAGGTCGTGATCTCGCGCACCTGAGATCAAGCCCCATGTTGGGCTCTGTGCTGAGTGGGGAGCCTATGTGGGTTTCTCTCTCTCCCTTTCTCTCTGTCCCTCCCCCACTCGCTCACACACTCTCTCTCAAAATAAACAAACATTTAAAAATAAAAAAATAAAACCCCAAATATCTAAAACCCCCTCTGACATTTTTCTAAGGGACAGGCTTCAGATTATAGAAGAAATGCAAATGAATCTACATGTTCTACTTCTGTTCTAGGGATTCCTAATACTAAAGCAAGTTTCTTTAGTCACTAAGGGAGACCCAAAGGTCAATATATTTCAAGGAGTTCTTTTCATTTTTATATATAGAACATGCTAGGGAAAAAATGGTTAAAAACACCATATAGTTTGATTTGAACCTAAATCTTAAAATCTATCAAACTGGGAAAAGTAATTTATCAATTTGTGTCTATATTACAGAGATAGCCCAATAAAATAAGTGTTTTGCTTATGCTATAGAAGCATTTAGAATTTCTTTCACGAAGAACATCATGAAACTACCCCACCAAGCTCTGGTGGAAACCCTTCCACAGCTACTTGACGAGCAGACCTTTGACTCTGTCCACAACCTCAGAAAGCAAGGCTGGTCCTATTCCCTAAGCAGCTATATGTGATGGAAGGAACAGTGCTCTTGGTACTTTCTGACAGATTCAACAGCGTTATTTATCTCAAGAAAAACATATATTAGCAGAGAATTGCCTCTTCAAATTCAAGCTTGCATTAAAATCTTAGAAATCTACCTCTTTATTGCCACTTCTACACCAATAAGCACCACACATAAAAACTAATGGAATGGAATACTGGAAGCTCAGTCCTCTCCTCTTCCATCTCCTCCTCTTGACCCTAACCCAGAAGAAAAACCTGTTAAATACTGCTCTGGTGTCAGCACTAAGAAATACAACATTTAGGAAGCAACACAAATAAAGAAATTAGAAGAAAACAGAAATGCTTAGTTGTTGATTTTTCCCACCCAGGGCCATTCATACCTGCACTCCTCATCACTTTTGATGAGGGGATCAGAGCCTACAGTGCCCACCAGGAACTTGGGACTAAGCAAAGGCAGACGAACATGCTGCAGCACCTAAGAGATAATAAATATCGTTAAAGGCACGAGCTCCCACCTGCAAGATATTTAACAGAATACGTAACACAAGTTCCCATAGTCTTTCCACTTGCTTTGGGATCTAACTGAATTAATTTGATTTAATTAATAAATAATAAAGATAGAGGGAAGGCATAAATACTAAACCTAAGTTTATTCCATCAATTCAGTAATCAGAATAGTCAGAAAATTGAAAGCATACTAATATCATTTTAGAATGCCACTTTGAGCTTTCAGCAATATGTTTTTAAAAAAAATTTTTTTTTAATTTTTTTTAATGTTTATTATTTTTGAGAGAGAGAGAGAGAGACAGAGACCAAGCAGGGAAGGGGCAGAAAAAGAGGGAGGCACAGAATCGGAAGCAGGCTCCAGGCTCTGAGCTGTCAGCACAGAGCCCAACACGGGGCTCGAACTCACAGACGGCGAGATCATGACCTGAGCCGCAGTGGGCCACCCAATCGACTAAGCCACCCAGGCGCCCCTAGCTTTCAGCAATATGTTATAAGCTCTTCTATAATTAGCTTATATAACTGGACTGAAACAATCCAGAAGAATATCCTATTAAACTGCTAAAGACTATAGTCATAATAACAAGAACATTAAACATTCATTTAGTGACCACTTACGGCCCATATCATCCCTTTACTCTTCCAAATGTGATTAGATTTCCAAGTCACAAGGAAGGGAAGCACGATAATTGCCATCCTTGCTTTCTTTTGTTCATTTACACCTTTAGGTTCTGACTTGTGCTATAACCCTAACCTAGAGTTGATGCAAAATAGAGAGGAAGCCAAGGAGCAAAAAGTTCAAAATGATAAACACTTAAAATGCTTCTAAACACTATCTTCTTGATTATTTGGGATAGATGGTGTCTCTTACAGTCTAATATAAGGGACAGTGACAATCGCTTATTTTTTGTAAGTCAAACATTTATTATTTCATCCAGTACAAAAAGGGCAGTTACTTGAAGAAACATTTTCGCCATACCTGGGGTAACTGAGGACGTCTTTCTTGAATACTGTATTTGACCCAGGCCATCACTGCATTGAACACCTGTTCTTCACTGCGAACATTTAGTTCATCACTAGATATTATATCAATGAGCTGATTGGCTGGAAGCAACATGAACTCTTCACTTTCCATCACCTGTTCAAAGTTCGGTAAGAATAAAAGAAAAACAACTGTGACCACATTTAATTTACTCTTGATGATGATTTACTTGTCACTGTAAGTTCATCAGTTGTAACAAACGTACCTTTCTGGTGCAGGATGTTGACAACAGGGATGGGAGTGTGTGTGTAAATGGGGTACATGGGAACTCTGTTCCATTTAGCTGTGAACTTAAAACTGCTCTAAAAAAATAACATTTATTCATTTAAAAAAAAGGTGGGGAACAAAGGAAAGTACTGAGGACACAATTAAAATTTTAGAAATAATAATTTGTGATTCAAGCAGTTTAAGAAAAATAAAATCTGTTTTTCTAAAATGAAGTATCAAAATCTACATTTAACATTAAAAATAAATGAAACTAACTACATCAAATTATAATTCCAGAACTATGAGGCATATAAAAAAAATCAGAAAAAGCTTTCAGAGGAGGATAAGTTGCTGAAAGAGAAACACTAAGGGGCCAGTTTAAAAAAAGAATGAGGGTGTCAGCAATTCCACAAGCAAGAATGAATATACTGAGGAGAGAGACTCATGAAAACTTCAGAGGATCAAACCACTCTGATATACAGATATCAGAATGGAGGCGAAATGGCAACAAGGATATTACCTTGTTGTGCGGTCCAGCCACAAATCCCAATATTTTGTATATCCTGCCATCAGTACGTAGAGTAAAAGGGTCAGGGTGCAACGTGGAAGAGGGAAACAGTCAATGCTACCCTCCCTGCGGTTTGTTCTCATTCAGAAGATTGTGCTACACATGATGTCTATTATCAGCACAGGAAGAATACAGTTAGGAGTGACCTCCAATACAGATGACGTATTCTCTTAGGACAGGGTTTTTTCATGCTCATCAAAAAGAATATTACTGGGGCACCTGGGTGGCTCAGTCAGGTGCGCGACTGACTTCAGTCAGGTCATGATCTCACAGATTGTGAGTTCGAGCCCCATGTCGGGCTCTGTGCTGACGGCTCAGAGCCTAGAGCCTGCTTTGGATTCTGTGTCTCCCTCTCTCTCTGCCCCTCCCCTGCTCAAGTTCTGTCTCTCCTTCAAAAATAAACATTAAAAAAAATTTTTTTTAAAAAATCAGAATATTAGGCAGGATACAAGATAAGCCATAGCAATTTGAATATTTGATTAAGACTGTTTTATCCCAAGTACATTAGAAACAAATGCAAATTCTAAAATGAAGCCATTAGGGCCATAAGGTTGGCTATACTTGTAGCGGAAAATATTAATGAGCTCTCCAATTTTTATGGCACAGGTTTTCAAATCATCTGAGTGAGAGACCCTTGGGGTTCAGGAAATAAAATAGGTTACCTCCATATTTTAGCTGAGGTTGCTTACCCAGGTAACTTAGTAGTTAGAATGACTGCATTGTATTCTCTGTGGCACAGCTGTCAGATTTAGCAAATAAAAACAAAGGACATGCTTACACTACAAAATTACTTGTGTATCTGAAACTTGTATTTAACTGGGCACCCTGTATTTTCTCTGGCAACCCCAACTTAGCGGCTATAAAATCAAGGCAAAATTCGAGGCCTAGCCCTAAATTCTGTGTGCTGGCCTTCACAGCATGCAGAACTGTAGTCATGACTGTATCTTCTTTCCTTTTTTCTCTTCTTCACTCTGATCTCTTAACTTAAACACAAGTGTGGTATCATATCTCTTTGCGAAGCAGTGCCTTAACATTCTTTTGGATCTTGTTAAAATATAAATTCTTTTTCCTAACTTAGTGATTATAAACCAATGATCACTAAGTTTAAACTTTATGAACAAAGCACTATTATATTCACGACTTACTGGAAACATTAAATGGCAAGAAGATGTGAAAATCTATGTTAGAAAATATTTGTTTGACAACAAAGAGTCAAACTAATACTTTTGATAGTCTAGTTAAACTGTCACTTCTCCTTTTTCCACCAAGAAGAAAAAAGATATTAGTGATCTACCATTAGAGCAAATCTGGCACTGGAGTCTATCCTTGACCAAACAACCAGGTTAAGAAAATAATGCTTTTTAAAGTATCTGTTTTAAATAAAAGTTTATAGGAGATCTGGATTTTAAGTCCCACACTATTATGGTAATGAGCTTACTTTTAGTTTCTTCTAATGAATGGAGATGCAATTTGAAAAATGAATAAAGCTGAAAACAATAAAAGTGAATAAGCAAAGTTAACTAGAGTTGTTCTACCAGGAGTGAATGGCAAACTTAATGTTGAAAGACAATTTTTTAATTTATCTTTATGGACAAATGACACTGTATGAATTAAGCCAGGTCTAATGAAAAAGAAGGAAATTAAATAGACTTAAGTTAGAAAATAATTTAAATGAGTCACATGTGTTAATGCCCTAAATGGTGACTTTTTGCATCTGCACAGAACTAGTGCACAAACAAGTGCATTCTACTCCACAAACAAGGGGATTTCATTATGGTATAAATCAGGTTCACTTGAAAGGCAGGTTCAGAACTGGAAGGGATTCCAAATCTTTCTCTGTTAAGGATATTCTTCAGATATTTGCAACTACCATCAGATGTAAAACCCAAGCTATGGTTAAAGCAGGAATTTTTTTTTTTTTTAAGTTTATTTATTTTGAGAGCAAGAGGAAGCACAAGTTGGGGAGGGGCAGAGAGAGAGGGAGACAGAGAATCCCAATCCCACGCTTCGTGCAGAGCCTAAGGGGGCTGGATCACACAACCATGAGATCATGACCTGAATCGAAATCAAGACTTGGACACTTAACCAACCGAGTGATCCAGGTGCACCTAAAGCAGGAAAATTTTTAAAAATCAACCTTATTTATTTTAAGTGTACAGAACAATGAGTTCTGATAAATGTATATACTCATGTAACCATGACCACAATCAAGATATAGAATATGACCATCATCCCCAAAGCAAGGAATTCTTAATATGGGATCCAATGACTTTTGCAAATTATTTTGGAAATTCTCAGTGGTAGCAAATCTTTAGTTTTAGAGAGTGGATTTTCGTATGTGAAGACAGTGGGAAAGGGGCACCTGGGGGGCTCAGTCCATTAAGTGTCTGATTCTTCATTTCGGCTCAGGTCATGATCTCACAGTTCATGAGACAGCCTTGCGTGGGCTCACACTGACAGTGAGAAGCCTACTTGGGATTCTCTCTCTCCCTCTGTCCCTCCCCGCTCGCACACACACACACGTACATTCTCTATGTCAAAAGAAATAAATATTAAAAAAAAAACCAGTGGAATGAAATTAAGAGTCAAATCTGTTTAAAAAAAGTATGAAGAATTTAGGTTATTTTGAATGGGAAATTAAGTGTTACTATAAAATAGTATTAACTTAATGGAGGTATAAACTCCATTTAGTCATGGTGTAGTCACTTCCTATATTTAGTTGGAATCAATTTAGTAATATTTTATTAAAAATTTTCCCATCTAAATTAATGAGAGATTTCCATCTTTAGTTTTCTTTTAACATCTGTTTTTTTTTTAAATGTTTATTTATTTTTGAGAGAGAGAGAGAGAGAGTGAGAGAGAGCACAAGCAGGGGAGGGGCAGAGAGAGAGAGAGAGAGAAACAGGGAGACACAGAATCTGAAACAGGCTCTAGGCTCTGAGCTGTCAGCAAAGAGTCTGACCCGGGGCTTGAACAGCAAGATCAAGACCTGAGCCAAAGTCAGACGCCCAACTGACTGAGCCACCCAGGCACCTCAAGTGTCTGTGGTTTTGATAGCAGGGTATTTTGTCCTTATTTGGCAACCTCCTCCTCCTTTTTCTGGAAGACTTTCTATAGGATTAGTATTATTTCTTCCTTAAATGTTTGATAGAATTCACCATCTGAGACAAGCATTTTCTTTGTGGGAAGGTTTTTAAATTATTATTTCAATTACTTTCATAGATGTGGGGTTGTTCTGGTTTTCTGTTTCTTCTTGAGTCAGTTTCTGGAATCTGTGTTTTTCAAAGAATTTGTCCATTTCCTATCAGTTGTTGAATTTATTGGCAAAATGTTGCTCATAACACTTCCTTATTATCTTTTTTAATCTGAGGGATTTGTAGTGATGTCCTCTTATATCTGATATTGGCAATTTGTGTCTTGTCTCCTTTTCTTGATCTGTATAGCTAGAAGTTAATCAATTTTTTTTTCAAAGAACAATTAATTTTTTACTCTAACCTTTATTCTTTTCTTCCTTCTACTTACTTTGGGCTTTAATTTGCTCTTCTTTTCCTAGTTTACAAAAGTAATCACTAGAACAAAAACAAATGTTTCTATACAAAAATAAAATTTAACAAGCAAAGAAGACATCATATAGAAAAAGAAATACAGTAAATACAACTAAAGTATATACTATTTATAAAAATATGACAGAATTCAGAACAAACATATCAGTCATGGCAACAGATAAAAATGGGCTTTAATTCCCTATTAATTTTATTTTATTTTATTTTTTTAAACGTTTATTTATTTTTGAGACAGAGAGAGAGAGACAGACAGACAGACAGAGCATGAGCTGGGGAAGGGCACAGAGAGAGGGAGGAGACACAGAATCCAAAGCAGGCTCCAGGCTCTCAGCTGTCAGCACAGAGCCCGATGTGGGGCTTGAACCCATGAATCATAAGATCATGACCTGAGCTGAAGTCGAACGCTTAACCCACTGAGACACCCAGGTGCCCCTTTAATTGCCTATTTAAAGAAAAAGATTTTCAAACTGGCTCACAAAGCAAAACTTATCTCTATGCAAATTCAAGAAAAATACCTAAAACGTTATGATGCAAAAATGCTAAAAATAAAGGGTAAATGGGCAAAGATACATTAGGCAAGTGGAAACAACAACAAAAAACAAATAAGAACTGAAAGCCAGGTATCAGGCAAAGTAGAATCAAGACAACAAAAGAATGAAATCTGACAAATGAGGATACTTCGTAAAGCTAAAAGTCACAATCTGTAATTAAGATACAGAATTATGATTATATATGCATTAAGCAACACAGCACCCACC